TTTATATAAATTTATATAATACTGAAGCAGATAATTAGTATATATATATATATTTATAATAAAACAGAATTCTTAATTTTATATAATTAATAACAATAAGATATGAAAATAATTCGTATACGTAAAGTTCATGTATTTTATTATATATGATGGAATATTAGATGAACAAATTTAATTATAAAATATACACAATAATGTATATGATACATATAGAAGATAACATTATTTAAACTAATTTTGTTTTATTACTGAATATAGCAATATAAATATTACTAATTAATTTCTAGTTTTATTGAAAGGTAGCATCACTCTATCCAACATATGGAATAAAGGTGGTATAACACAATTACCTAAGGATCTTCATAATATATTATTATAAATCTCTTGTATAATAATATATAAATAAAATGCACTGGGCAAAATAAATGAAAATATTTTCTATGATATATATATAAATAATATTTTTATATAGTTAACAATTATATATGTTTTCATATCAATAGAAGTAGATATGTTACTATTATTTTCGTAAAAGATATTTATTCATAAAATTTTACGATATCCATTTATTATTACTAGCTAATTAGTATTACGTCAATATTATTTAACTGTGGAAATAATATTTCTTCACTAAATTTTGTTTTAAATTAAATCACTATATAAATTAATAAATATATATTACATAGCATAAACTATTTTTTATGAAACCATGTATATATACATATATGCTTTTAAATAATTAAATTAACATTTAATTACATCAACAATAAATTTTTTATTCTAATAAACGTGTCTTTATAAAATATTGCAATGATGAAAATTATGATATATTGCATATATGCATAGTCCATCATCTATGGTTAATATATATTTAATAAATATTTGTGTTAATTGATAAAAAGGCACAAATATGCAATTTTTTTTATTTCTTTATGAAATCCTATAAAAATGTTACAAAAGAAAAATGGATATTCGATGTACGTAAATAATTATATCACTTTATATTTTTTTCCTATAATTTATGTGATTAGTGCATACAAATTTTATTTAATATATTAAAAATACATAAGGGATAAATAAAATGTGAAAATTTAATATTATTTATATAAAAAAAAAGTTAATGTATATATGTAATCTAATTAAAATCATATTATCAAAGATTTATAAGTACAGTGTTTTTAATTGCGTATAAAAATTATTAATATTTAATGTAAAATGTAAGAATATTAACATCATTATTTGATACAAAACTATTTAAAATACAT